GATCAAACTACACCTTCACATGTTACCCCCGGGTTCAAACCATTTACTGCATTACTAAAATTCTCGTTCTGGGAAAAGACTACAAAAAGATTATGAATTGGACTTCTAAGCGTCTCCTCTGGATTATCTATGTCAGTCTAAGATTTCTAATAAAGAATGCATGTAAACTATCATGTGATAGTATGACCATTGCGTAAAAGTGTGCTTATCATTTGAGGTCGTGCCGTACGAGAGTCAGGAGTGTGTTCTGATAGAAACAACATCTACGTATTTGGTGGGAAGCCAGACGACTTATCTGCCCACAAATTTGATGTTTGTCGTGGAGTTTGGAGTTCATTACCTGAAATGAACAGACCAAGGAGATGCACTGGTAATCTTCCTTTTCTTTTTTCTGTCCTATCTTTATTTCTTGTCGTATTTTTTCGTGCCCTTGTCTTACAACCTCGTTCCCAGGGCCTTTTCCCTTAGTTGGGGGTGGGGCGGGAAAAGGCCCTGGGAACGAGGTTGCTTTTCTTGCATTTTGTTCTGTAGATTTGTTGTTGTTGTAACTTTTTTTTCTGTGTGAGAACTACACGTCTATTGAGTATTTATTGTCACTCAGTCTTGTACTCTGGATCTCTCTGTCTCAAGCACTACTCACTCATTTTTTTCTCTTATTACCAATCTCTGATGGAACGAATTGTTCTGGACAATGCCTATTGGCCTAAGAAAAGAACGAGAAATCTTTCCCTGACGAGGGATCTTTTTAAGAATATCACTGCAGTTTCACTATTAACCGTTCTTTCCTTGACCATAGCGGAGCTCCTCATTCAAGAAGATATTCTACACCTTTGAAGTTATATTTAAAATGTTCCTTTCATAGGTGTGACTATTTTGGGTCGAAAGATTTACGTCATTGGAGGACTTAATGACGATGGACCGCTGACTTCGATGGAAAGCTTTCACATTCGATCTCAAAAATGGAAATTGCTACCAGACCTTCTAGAGCCTCGTTTCAGTATGGGTGTGGTAACCTGGGCTGGAAGTATCTTTGTCTTCGGTGGACGCAGCGACCGACAAAGTTTAGGAAGCATGGAGGTGTATCACCCGAAAGAAGAAAAATGGGTGTTTGCGCCTGCGCAGTTAAACGACAACAGAAGCGAGTTTGGTCATGTGGTCTACGAAAATAAGATATATTGTTTTGGTGGGCGTGGAGTGACTTCAATTGAATGTTATGATTATTTGAATGAACAGTGGCGCATTGTGGGAAGAGTAAGCGACAACACTTATTCAGTGAATTGCTTGGTGTATCCTCCGCTGAGCTGAATAAATTGCACAGGATCACATTTCATTTCAGCCGTGACACATCCCACAAAATGGTACTTCGTTTCCTGCTTTAGTTCAAACCAATCTGAGATTGAGATTGCAATCTGAACGATCTACCTCCGAGCTTGGATCGTTCAGATTGCTAGCTCAATCTGGTTTCAGAAGTTCGCTCCTTTTAGCTGAATCAGCCTGGATCCCGATCATATTTACAAGGCACAGGGTCGACACTGCCGATATTAGTGGCGGTTCAAGAACTAAATTTTCACGTCACCTCAGATTAACTCTTGACCACTGCTTCATTCTCTCGCACATCCTTAAGGTTGTGCATGTTAAACTTGGGTGTTAAGAATAGGACGAAAAAAGTTGGAAATTAATTCGTTTCCAGGCCGTTCGCTGTAAGGATCGATATTTTGTCAGATTTTTGTTCCGGCTCAGAAGAAAATCCAAACAATCCAAGACAAAGTAAACTCTCTATTGACGCTAAGCTCGGAAATCAAATCAAAGCCATGGTGAGGAAAGGGGAATGCCACAACTCCTAGCAGAGCTCATTTCTTGCTTCCCAACTATGCGTCTCTTTGCTTACGCTCTCAAATTCCATTTAGTTTGCGGAAACATGCTTTTAAGAAGTTCATTACGGTTCAGGTTCAAAGCTTTATCTCAGTTCCAGCTTCGCGCTGGTGCTTGACTGGATGATATTAATGATATCAAATTTAATAATAATAATAATAATAATAATAATGATAATAATAATAATAATAAGAATAATAATAATGACAGTGGTAATAACGGCATATTATTTAAAGAGGTTGTCGTTCATAACTGATTACTCGGTGAACCATGCAAGAGCGCTACCTTGACCCGTCGTTCGGCTGTCCACATATTCATGTGGTTCGTGGGCGCACTTGTTCTAGAGTTCTTAGAAGGAAGGCAGACCCTCTAATGGGTGGAGAACTCACATGGGAGGGCTCAGGCTCCGTAAATATCCTGTTAGCATGGCAACAACAAAACAACACAAACAAGGGTCTTCTAAAGCCCTGCATGTTCCAACACAATAAGAACGGGTGGACCGCAGAGTTGAGCAGAATCAACAGAACTGTAAAGTTGTATGTATTAGAGCCGTAGCTAATTGAGGGAGCGTAATAGGTTAGTAGATAAGTCGTGTAATTAGGCAAGCGACAGATTGTATGAATAATAGTGACCAAAACTAGCAATTTGGTGATGTTTTTGCGTGCGCGTAATCTTGCTGCCTGAGAGATTTCCGTTGCCCTACGTTGTCTGTTCCACAGCATGTAAATGATTTGAGAATATAAAATGAACATCACAAGAACCGAGCTTATGCCCAGGAAGAAGATACACATGACATACGCTTTAGGCGAAACCCAGTTTGGCCAGTTTTCCACGCAGAAGTCAATCGCTTCGTCGTACGCAAAAACAATAAGCGTTGGTAAATTCGCGGCGAAAGCTGACAGCCAACAAAACGCTACAACGGCTTTGATACGCGAGGTTGTAAGCGGCGCCCTTCGGTTTTGTACCATTATAGACGTATAGCGTTCGACGGCGATGGCAATGAGTAAAAACCCGGAGGCTGTGGAGCTAGTCCACAGGATACCACTCCCTGTTATGAAATTGCAAAAGTAGTCGCCTGTGGTTTCTGCTGGATGACGTAATGCGATTACACTGAACAGCACGTGACGAGGAAAGATGAATAAACCAATCACAAAATCTGATATTGCTAAGTTGAAGATTAGGTTGTTCATGGGAATTCTCAATGATTTGCTCCGATAAATAACGGCACAAACTAAAGCGTTGAATACGAGACATGCTGCTATCAGGATCGTAAACAAGCACAGGAGTACCAAGTCAACATTGTCGCTCATACTGTCCCAAACCGTGGTAATGATCTCTGAAGCCTGGGCTCTAGGATAAAGGGAAAATTAAAGTGAGACGTAGACTTGTATTGGTCTGTGTTCTGCATCGTTAAGTCGCACGCCGAGGCTCACTTTTTTTGTCTCACTACTACAGAAGAGACGTTGCAGCATAACCTGAGAGGGTCGATTTTGGCATCAGGCAGCCCATAATAGTTGTCATAAGAACCAAAGGGGGGAGGGAAGGGGGCTGCCTGAGTCAATCTTTTTGCTGGGTATGTGCCGCTGATCCCTCAGAACCCTTACTCCATTACGTTCTATTCTTTGGCCAGAAGTTACACCCATCTTAGCCACCTTTGGGCAAATGTAAGTTTTATGATCCCAACCTAGTCACTTTCTGTTTTTGGATCTATCTTTGAGCCTTTTAAGTACTTCATCCTAAAATCAATCGATGAAGTGAATGTAGAACACTCTACAACGGTCACCTACAGTACAAAACATTCTGGTACATTTGCTAAACGTAAATATTTACTATCGTACCAGAATTTTTTCAAAATCCCAAAATGTGCCACCCTATTCTTGTAACTTTATAGATAATGTAAGCCCATTATAGTGAATCCAGTTGTATAAATGTAACCGCACCCAGCCGTAAATCCCCATGAGACTATTACTGGGAGATACCCCCCTCTTTCACTTGGCATTCAGCTTACGTCTGAGTGAGCGACAAATTTGCATAACTGGTTTCCTACAGCACTCTCCACAAGTAAAGCCTCAGACGCAAGAGGAACAATTACGATCGAAACAAAGCCAGCAATTGCAATAGAATCGAAAAAAAACGAAACGAAACAGAAACAAAACAAAACCAGCAGTCTTACGAAAAGGAGCGCTCAAAGATCTATATGTACTCGGCTGAAGTATATAAATACGTAAATACAACACGTACATACTTTTAGCGGTACATTGTCGATCTACGGTTCAAAAGTGCCAAGAGGCACTTAGAATTGACCCAAAAGCTCTTTACAAAGACCTTAGATACTCTTATAATTTGTTGGAAATGTCGCGAGGCGTCATAAGTCTAGCTAAGTGATAATACACAAAATAATTGCTACAAAAATGATCGATGTGACATGAATCGAAAAGGCCTTGAATTTTGGCATCCAACCTCTGGCTTGGCTCGCATGTTATTAGAAAGGCAAAGTAACGTTAGCCTATGGCATAAAGAACGGTTAAGAATATAAACAAACAAACCGATCTGCCTCACCGAAATGTGGAAAATTCCTAAATGACTGTTTGATGTTTATCTTGAGCTAAAGCACGTTGAAGTTTAGATTGAGCGACATGCAGCCTTTTCGTAATTACACAAATTTGAGGTTTAAAAGCTAGACACAACATCTTTAGTTAACAACAATGATATGTATAACAGAGGAAGTGGTTTTCTGCGCAGATAGTAGATAAATAAAATTTTGACAATATTTTCAACATTTTCTTTGATAGCTTCAGGGCATAAAATAAAAGATTGCTAACATTCTCATAAGATAATCATCTTTTTAGCAAAAACCCCAGTCAGCGAAAATCGCAGTTGACACAGGTGATTTTTAAGCCAATCAGATTCCTTCGTTACTAAATTGTGATATTTCCTGGCTTTCCACATACATGGAATTAATTCATTTGTTAGCTACCGCAAAGAAAGGATAAATAATGCGAAAATAAATTCTTTTTAATTGGACTTGTTCATAGAACTTTCTTTAGCCTCAAACGTAATTCTCTTTGGCTTTCGAAAAAATTGAGGCATTAACCTTATTCAGTGCTTGTAAAATAAAAAAAAAATACTGCCACATTCAACAGTATAAAAGCAAACAAATTTTAGACAGGTTAAATAAGTTGCACTAAAATGACTGACAGAAAAGTATAGCTAAGAAGTGCGTCCTCTGCAGTTTCTCTTTGTTCTCAAGACATTTGTCTTTTTATTTTCGTTGCTATTATACAGCCTGTAAAAGAGCCTTGTTAGAATTGCGGTTTCAAAATGGAGCTTAGAGAATTTTGAAAATCGTATCATCACGTAATCACGACGAGCAAAATCCATTATTTCGTTCCTTTATAAGCTAGCAAGGTCAAATTATTGTTGAAATCCTCCTTTTACAAGGTCTTGCGGGTTAAATTTTAAACTGACCCGGTGGTCTTTGTGAAACGAGTCAAATCGAAGACATCTTTGAATTGGGTATTTCACTTTGAAGGTTGAGTTGATATCTTAGAGATATCCTTGAGCGTTCTCCATTCAAATCCCACAGGGTTAAGAGTTATGTTTTTAATTTAAAGACTAAAGCTGCTGATTTGACATCCTCTCACTGGTAGAATTAAGGGGGAAGAAATTAGGTAACGATTATTTCAAGTTTGAGATGTCATTGCCACTATTTCCTTCAAAATGAAAAATATAATGAAAAATTTAACATCAGATCAGTTGAACTACAGGCCTATAACTCGGTTGCAAATTTCTCTCATAGTATTGCGACGCCTAAAGAGTTTTGATTTCATTAGAGATCTGCAATTGTGAACGTTTTCCTTTGAAACAGACATCAAACAGCAAACCGGAGCATCCTTTACGGAAAAACGTAAACAAAAACCTTGCTCAGAATACCTGATCAAAAGACTTACATTTCAGTTAAGGTAAACCTTTAAATCTGGTCTAAGATCGTGCGAACAAAATTAACACAGAGAAAAGGCGCGTGCATCACTTACCTTCCGAATGGGCTCAGCTCAAATTCCAAAAGTTCGAGGAAGAGAGCTTTAAATGATGCCACAAAATAATGCGATGGTGAAAAGTGAGATTTGCTCACAGGAAGCAAGGCTATGTGAACAGGTGGGGCAGTGGAATTGATTAGGAAATTAAACTGACACAACAAAAATCGTGTCACGACACTTTCAGAGAAAACAAGTGGCTTTCTATCCGGTATAATTTTTTTTTAATTCATTTATAAAGAAAAAGATTATAGGAAGGCCTTCTAAAGGTTATCATTCGTTCACAAACCGACTTGATACTAAAACTGCTTAAATAATTTTGTTTTCCGGGCAAAATCATATAAAATCATCATGAACACAATATAGTAGTGCAAATGAAATTGCTATGCTCGCATTAGTTAAAGATCAATGTATGTAGCATACATTAGTGATGTATTGGCTTTAATGGCAGAATTACCGAAAAGAATGAAGGAAAAAATTAAGTTTTCTTACCTTAGAGACGATAAAACAACAGATCGATCGAAGCCAGTGTGAAAGATGACGCTATCTTGATCACAGTTTGAACGACGTTTGGTCAGATTTTGACGGACAGACTGTCAACTCTAATATTTGGTGCATAAAAATTGTAAATAATCATCGAAGGTTTCGTACAAGATAAAATCGCTTCATTTATTTCTGTCCTTGAAAGGTCTAATGCTAGATACTTTGAGCCAAATTTTGCAAGGGGTAAAAACTATTTATTACTCGTAGGAGACAAAAAAATCATTATTTACTTTTGTATACTAGAAACACAGAAAAGAGGAAAAAATTAAAAAGGAATGAAGGACGGCTGAAAATGGAGCTCCTACATGATGCATATATGACCCATTTCGGGAAAACACGTCAAGTTTGTGCGGCATAAAAGAAAAATATTTTCGTCTCAGTGGAGACTTAAAAATATATCACTCCGTAAAGATAGAGTGACAGAGAAGACACAGTTCTGCCTCGTCATCATGCACTGCAGAGTCACGTGAAAAAGCACTTACCGCCACGCTATTCAGTGCATTTTTACCGCCGATTAATCGACAACTCGTTTGAAATCCTCGCTGTAAACTACGACTAAAAACCTCACAATTGAGGAAAATGCCGAAGGAAGCCCTAGATATTACTTCTAAGGGCAAAACCAAATCTAAAGATTGACCATTGAGCGTGTCTCAAGGTGAAAAAACGACAGAACAGCACCTAGATGGCTTGGCGCCAANTCTTTGTGGCTGTAGGCTTACTTGGTGTACCACTCATGGGCTCCTGAGACTTTGTGACAAAGCAGACTGAACAGAGCCAGGATTTGCTGTTATTTGGCATCCTTTTCCTGCCAAGACATGATAAATGGAAAAACTTCCCATTAGTGCAGTGTGCATTTGAACACTTCACAAGCTTGTCCTTTTTTTCAGCCACAGCTTTGCAGGTACAAATTAAGTCCATCTTCATAGCTTCATTTATAATGCCAGCTGATTGTTTGTTAGAGCTTCCTCGCTTAAATTCTGCTAAGGGTCTGCAATTGGGGCAGTACCAGGTTTTGGGAATACCATCAATTCCCAAACATGATAAATGAAATCGCTGAATAGGACAGTTTGGATTGCAGCACTTGACAGTTTCCTCAACAGTTTCCTGTCTGCAATAACAGGTAGCATCAGCTAGGGAAACCCCATCTACAGTAACATTCTCTCTTCTTGTGTACCATCGAGCAAGTACCTCAGGCAAGACACAAATTCTCCAAAATTTGTGCAATTTAGGTAAAACTCTGTCCCAGTGCTCTTTATCTGGGAGAATTTTTTGCGAGACCAGCTTGATTTGATTTTCATTTACACCACAGACAACAAAGTAACTATAGTTCAGTTTGGTAGTGAAAAGCTGTTGTTGCACCTGGTAGTAATATTCATGTGTGCATACCAGTACGAATTCCCCTCTACTGTTCTTTTCAAGACAGGAGCCAGGCTTTAAAACATATGAATCAAAGTCACAGTTTTCCAAACGTAGGGGGCATTTTATTTCCCCACAGCCTTCCCCACAACAGTCACATGAACATAAAAAATCTGGGGTGGCGTGCATCCAGGGATTTTCTTCGTTAATAAAGAGACCACATTTGATAACCTTAAAGTTTGTGTGTGTTTTTTTCATGGACTCTTCTAAAGCACTGATAGCAGAAGCTTCATGCTTACACCCATGATGCACTGCCTTGGTGTTAACCTTGTGAAGTTCAGGGTAACAAATGCGCTGTATTAGGGACTGGGAGGGCAGTGCTGGATCAGAGTGTGCTGCAGCCTTACTCTGCGAGGCACCAATCCTCCCTGCCCTGTGCTTGAAAAAATTCGCCCCGCTCGACTGTGAAATGGTGTCTTTTTGCACCTGATCAATTTTTTCTTTTGTAATCTCAATGCTGGTGCTCTGGCACAGTTTAAATAGTTCGTTATAAGAGAGTTCCAAGTTCTCCTTTTTGAACATATCCATCACAGTGGATATATTTCGGCTCGGTAGCACGTAACTCTGAGCGTATGGGGGGACCAAACTCAGCACAACAGGTTTTGAGTTACATTTACTTAGTTTAGAATAAAATTCTTCCACTTCCGCTTGTGACGGTGCTGGCACTTCCGGTTTGGGCACAGCGCTTTCATTTTGGCGTTTAGAGATCCCAGAAAGCTCTAATTCTTCAGAGAGATTTTCAATCATTTTGTCTAGGTCCACTTTTAACTTCTTGGCTGATTTAAAATTTATGTCGCGGACCCTAACATATTCTACCTCGCTTGCGAAGCTTGGCAGTATCCAGCTGCACTTCATTTGCGTGCACGCCAGCCTTCCATTCACCTTTGTCCAGGCCTCAAGGTAAAAAAGCACGCTAGCAATATGCGAGCATGATTCAGCAAGTCCAGCCTTACATCCAAGACAATGCGCGCAGTTTATTGTTCCATCTTTCTCGGTAATGATCCAGATTGGAATCAAGGCCTCGTTCATCCGCTGAGAGTGCCGCACTTTCGCCAACACGACAAACTTGCTTGCGACCATATGCCCTTGCACGTTGTAAACAAACCCCGAAACCATTTGATTGTAAGCTTCCAGACTACGAAAGGCTTTAAATTGCTTTTGCGTGTAAAAGCTGGTCTCAAGAACCAAATAACAGAGTAAATCTGTCGATTCAACCGGCGGAAGACAGTCAGGTTCGAAGTGTTTCCCCTCTATCAAGGCAGGATCGATTCCAATCGTCGAGATTTTCTTAACGTAGCGCTCTCTGACTTTCCCATCCAGCTTTTTAGCGTAATCAGACAGGGGAATTTGAACAACATTGTCAGGATCAGACGAAGAATTTTTTTTTTCCTCGGAAGCCATAATTTTCGACAGTGAACTGAGAAGAATTATAACTTTGGACTCTGTTTGCATATATTTCTTACTGAAACACGTGACTCGGATGTGCACCAACATGGCGGAAATTAATTCTGTGACGTCACGTGAAAACGATCTATATGTTTCTGATAATATTTAAAAGCTCTTAGCGGTTACAACTACAGCTTGGCTCCTTGTATAGGTTTGTGGTGAAGTGTCCTTCGAAAGCACGTGCGGGACAACTTGGTTTTCGGTCCTTTTACAGGGGATAAGCTTCCAAAGCTCGACTCGAAACGAACGATTCATGTAGCCATATATGAATGGGTTACAAGCAGAGTTCAGACCCACAAGATATGTAACAGCAAGAGCACCTTGTAGGGAGATGTGGACCAAATTTCCACGGCTTAAAAACCCGATTACATAGGCTGGGATCCAGCAAAGTGCAAACGTTGAAACTAGTAAGAAAAGTGTTTTTGTGACGCGAATTTCCTCGATGGTCGCTCGGTTTACAAGTTGGAAGTCCAAGTTTGGGGCTCCCTGAAGAGATGGAATCACTTGATCATTATGTTCACGTACTGCTCGTGATACTTTGAGGTAGCAACCGGCGATTGTAAGAGTACAGGGAATTAAAATAAGACCGGCGTCCAAAGTTAAAAATATCACTGTGAGACTTGGCTTATGGAAATGCAAAACGCAAGCGGCGTAACCAACGTGAAAGGCAAATTCTGCCCATCCAACCAGCACGGGAATGGAGACTGTCAAGGCCATCAGTGTCCACAGGGATATCAAAGCAGCAACGCAACGCTTTCTTGTGAAAATCTTCAAATAAAGCGCTGGTTTCACCACTCTGCAGTATCTGTTGACAGCCATGAAAGCCATGGTAAGGAGGGACACCAATGTTAAATAGTACGTGAAAAATCCTTGGATGATACATCCACCGGATCCATAGTTCCAGCGACCACAAATTAACGTTGCCACTGTCAGAGGTGCAGCGATACAAGAGCGGGTCAAGTCCGCAATAGCTAATGCTGTCACCCACAGGTTTGTGCTCGTTCGAAGGCTGGGATTTCGTGCAGTTGCCAGGCAAATGAAAACGTTTCCACCGATGGCAATGATATCGATTAACAAAAGTGAGGTGGATTGAAAAGCAATTAGGCCCGAAGTGCGATGAGGGAGTTCCATGGTTCATGTATTGTGAAAAAATTCCATTGAAAAATATGAAAGCTGACAAAGAGCACCAAACCCAGGAAAGTGCGGAACTCGACAATGGGCAAATCCCACCAAATAAGATGTTTATCAGCGGTTTTTCTTCCCTCGTAGGCTAGCAGCTGGCTGGCAAGTGAATGCGGCGAATGTTGACTGAAGTAAAAGTCTGGTAAAAGATATCGAGTTCAAGAAAAAAGAAATCGGCCGAAAAGTCTATGCGCTGATCTAGTGATAATCTCATATGTCAGTCCATTGCAAAAAACAGTGTGTGTCGGCCCAAAACTAACAAGTCCACCTAGCCTAATTAACTTGTGTATTTTGTAAAATGAGAAGATAGAAACAGAGTTGGTTTACCAGCCATGTGTCCACTATAGAAGACTGTAGCGCCCGGCGACAACTCGCTTTGAGGCCGATTTCAATTTTTAACGTATAAACTGATACTCGACAGCTAAATTTAACACACAGATTCTCGAATAGTGAATTGATATATCGTTGTGTTTTCCGTGACGGGGTCCTTTCACCATATAAATAATTAATGTAAACAAAACAGTCCGAGGAGCTTTTTCAATAACGCAGCACGAAAGCCCGGCCACTTGCTTGTCAAACACAAAGATCTTTAATATAAATTGTTTCCTTTCGATTAAATTTTTCATACAATTACATTAATTCTCCTTCGATCATAATAAATTGGAGGAAACAGTAAACTTAAATAAGTATAATTGCGAAATTCGATTCTTTACGAAAGAAAGCAATCGCACTTTCGGTAGTTGCAGTCAATGTCCATCGAACTCGACAGGAAATATCGTTAAAACTGACATGAACTATTGTTTGAGAGCTAATCTGCAACTTTAATCAATAGCTGGGACGAAAATTAGGTTTTGTTAATAACTTCGGGGAATTTATCATTTTACGTATGACAGTTACAACAAAGGTAAACAACTCTTCTCCATTTTAAATAGTTTTGTTCTGGTTTTCGTTTTTCTTTCTTTCCTTAACTTCAGGGAATATAGCATTTTACGTATGACGCTAACCAGAAAGCTACACAACCCTTTTCCATTTTGAATAGTTTGGTTCTATTTTCTTTCCCTGTTTTAGTACGTACAAGTGAAGTGAAAAGAAAAATGACATTTTTAAACAAATCTTTGACTGTCTTCACATCTCAAATCATTTTAAGTAGAATGCAAAATAAATCCTCTGGCCGAACAGATTGGGCGGAGCGCGTACGAAAAAAAAAAACAAACAAACAAACTAAGCTTGACCACGGTGTTAGTAATATTTATATATATACATTCAAGGCTCATACGTTCAAGCTCATACGTTCAAGGCAATTTAACCGGACCAAATTGGAAGTCATCTGCCATCAGGACCTATTTACAGTTGTCCCATTTACAACGGACTCAGTTGTCATTGATGTATATCAAATATAATATGTAGCTCAGCGGCCTGTTATCATTTCTGTCCCGCACGAGACGCCAATAATATCAGTATTGCATGGCCGTTTACTCGCAAATGTGGACGATCTCTCCAACCAGAAAGTTGAAGGACTTCACTTTGATCGCGTGTAAATGACAAAATGGCTTAACAATCCTTGCCATAAATAACCTATTTTGCATAGACCGGACCTATAACCATTACCATTCTTTTTTAATATATTTAATTTTCAACACAAAAAACAGTGTTTTTATCAGTTTCAGTTTGTGAATCTTGAAATTTCTTGAATCATTTTTGGTATATACTATAACCAAACCTTTCATGAGGAAGACCGAGATACATACATTAAGCTTTTCATAGAGTAAATGTTTATATTTTTGTTATATTTTTTCTTTATTTTTGAGTTATTTTTTTAAAAAAAATAACTATATACTAGCGTATAGATTGGTGTATAGTGGTGTAGTGTAATCTGATCAGCACAATTTGGTGTATCTCTAAGCAATCTGATTGGCGCATCTGTTTTTTTGGTGTATCTCAACGCAATGTGATTGGCCCAATTTTTTGGTGTATCACAAACCAATCAGATTGTAGTATTTTTCGATGTCGCACCAATCAGAGCGTTCTTGCTAATTTGTGGTTTGACAGGTCTTCAAATTTCAGCGAATCAACGCTTGAGTCGGAGAGAGCGGTTCGCGAATTAAGGAAATGTATCAGTCGTGTTGGGAAAGTGGTGGAGTTGTGATCGTTGTACGACTATGCTTATTCTTCCTTCTGAAGGAGACTGAGTGGAACATGAGAAAAATTTTGAATCAAATATTACTTCAGATGTTGATAGGAGCAACTTCAGGATATTTCATTGCTATATATGAGTTAATCAGCGATTCCAATTTTGAATTTCGCTCAAGGAACGAGGTAAGATGACATCTACAAGAGTTGTAAGATCATCTATTCAGTGTAATGGCTCATGTCCTTCGTGAGGATTTTATCGCTATGATCTGTCTGGATTTGAAAGGTCGTCAGGGAACTTTTTCTACCGATTAGCGAGTTAAAACGTGCATGTTTTGTGTACCGCTCCTTCACTTACGACGCATACACCGTCAGCTGGAGGCCTAACACGAATTTAGCGCTATAGCGTGTTGTTTCGGAAAGGCTAGTTTTACTGACTCTGGTAAATCTTGCGCAAGATATTTGCGTAAATCATATTTGATTGATAATCTTTTTTTTT